CCCAATATGGTATGATAAACCATGCCTCCTGGAAAGGTTGCTGTGAACACCCTCAAAAAATCACTTCTCTCAACTGCCGACTGAGATGAACCTGGCAAACAGGTTACACCATAAAAGACATGATTAACAGCATCCCTATACAGCAGGAAGCAGTTTGGAGAGAAATAATGGAGCCCATATTCCCAAATATTGTTTATAAATGTTCTTTTACATTAAAGGGGGATATGATATAGATATGAATAATTTACATTGGTATAAATGTAAATTTGTTGATATAAATTTAAGGTCAATTTTGTTATATGTATATGTATTTCTGATATTGATTAAGGTCTTGTGATTGTGTAGCTCATTTAAAAATGTAATGAATAATTAAGAAATATAGGTTGTTAATGGATAATCATCAATAATAGTCAAGCTTGTAGTCATGTTAGTTAGATTTTTTAGATATGTAGAGATATATTTCAGTTAAATAGGCATTCTTAATATCTTTCAAAGACTACAGAATATGGCATTTAATGTTTTAATAACTTAGGGCTGTTCATGACAGTGAGACAAATCTGCTCCTGGCAGCACCGATCTACTTTGAGAGGAAGATGGGCATCAAAGAGGTACCTTATGGAGTTGGTTAGCCATTTGGGCAAGAAAATGCTCTTGCCTGGACTGATGCACAAACTGGACACAAAGAACCCACAGAGAGAGGACTGCTGAACTTGCCTAAAGGTGACATGGTCTTTCAGGGTTCCTGATCTATGAAAGAGTCTATGAGACATTGTACCAGACATAGCAGATAGTGACTGAACTGTCCTTGAAATTCATGGAAATGTCTGCTGGATAGTATGGGACTGTAGGCTGAGGATGGATGCCCCAATGGTGCAATAAAACTTTGGGTGACTGTCCAGGCAGCAAGATGTCTCTGTCATTTCTAGAGTTTTGGGAGTTGCATATTTCTTGTTTGCTTAGGTAATATTATATCCTTCTGGAGTCTTTGATGGAGTTGAAGAATGGTTAGTTATAGTTATAGTTTTCCTTTGTTATGTTAAAAGATAAAATAGATATAAATATTGTAACTGTAATTCTTGCTTGATAACTGTTTTGTTATATGTTATATTTTACTATGTTAAAGTTAAAGCTTTTCTTTTTTGTTTAAACAGAAAAAGGGGAAATATTGTAAGTGGGTCTTCTGTCTATGTGTTGCTTTCATTGGTCAAATAAAGAGACTGCCTTTGCCTTTGATAGGACATCAGCTTAGATAAGTGGAGTAGATAGAACAGAATGCTGGGAGAAAGAAGCAGAGTCAGGTAGATGCCATGAAGCTCCAGCCCAAGATGGACATAGGTTAGAATCTTCCCAGTAAACCACAACCTCGTGGTGCTACACACATTATTAGAAATGGGTTAATCAAGATGTGAGAGTTAGCCAGCAAAAGACTAGAGCTAATTGGCCAGGAAGTGTTTAAATGAATACAATATGTGTGTTGTTATTTCAGGTGTAAATCTAGCCGTGCGGGATCTGGGTGGGACAAAAAGCAGGCCTGCTTGCCTCATCACTGCACTCAACTATGTTCATAGAAGCTTCATGAACATAGAATCTGGAGATGTCCCTCAACCAAGGAATGGAAAAAGAAAATGTGATACAATACAAAATGGAGTATTATTCAGGACACAAAGGAACACCAGGAAATTTGAAGACCAATGAATGGAACTAGAAAAAAAATCATACTGAGTGATGATAACCCAGACCAAGAAAGACAAATATGATATGTACTCACTTATTCATGGATATTAGCTGTAAAATAAAGAACATTTCACAGATTCAGAAAGACCAGCTAACAAGGTGGGTTTATATGGGGGACACCCAGATCTCCTTGGGAAGGAGAAATAGAAGTGATTCCTTAAAGGACTGAGGATGGACAAGGGTGAGACCTTGAGGGATTTGGTTGGGGGATAGAAGGAAGGAAAGAAAGAGAACTGAGAGTGACTACAGAATGAGGGGCATTTTAGGGGGAGGTAAAACTCTAACATAAGGGAATCTTCCAAAAATCTACAAGGAAGATACCAGCTTAGCATCAAGCAAAAGCAGACACACAGTCTGAATGGCCATTTCCTGTGACATGATTGGTACCTAGCCCAACTGTCATCAGAGAAAGAGGCTTCATCTGGCAACTGATGGAAACAGACACAGACCCACAGTCAAATGCTAATCAGTTTGGGGAAGTCTGAAGACAAAAGAAAGCTTTGAAGGAGCCAGCAGAGTCAAGAATACTACACAAAAATTCACACAATCAACTAACCTGTGCTCATAGAGGCTCAGAGAGATTAAACCCACAGCAGGGGAGCTGCATAGGACTGACCTAAGCACTCTGACTATGTGTTACAATTATGTAGTTTGGTCCTCTTGTGCTACTCCTAGCAGTGAGAACAGGGGCTATCTCTGCGTCTTTTACTGACTCTTGGATCCTATTCCTCATATTGAGGCACCCGACCCAGCCGTAATACATGGGGAGGCGCTTAGTCTTACTGCAAATTGATATGCCCTGTTTGCTGATACTCTTGGGAGACCTTCCCTTTCTACAGAAATTATTTTCAGAAGGGATCAATGTCTGCTGCCAGTGGGTAGCTGAACAAAGCAGGCACAAGAGAGAAGACTATTTTATGTTATTCTTTTCATATCTCTTAAGTTTTGAAAATGAAGATAATGTAAATTTAAAAAATAATTTAAGGAATTACCTTTGAGGATTTTACTTCCTGTAGTCTTTCCATTGATGGCTTTTAGTACAATAATTGCTTTTGTTATTTCATTATTGTCATAATTTCATGGATGCAAGTAAATGTGAAATCTCTAAATTTTGATCTAACATTAAAACAAATTTCCTTATTGTTCAGTGTTTACATGTTTAAATCCCCAATGCTTTGTGTCTTCTATTTATTTTATGCTAGGAAAATTTGCATCTCACTTTTTTTTGATTTGTTTTGTTTTTTTTTGGATTTTCGAGACAGGGTTTCTCCGTAGCTTTTGGTTCCTGTCCTGGAACTAGCTCTTGTAGACCAGGCTGGCCTCGAACTCACAGAGATCCGCCTGCCTCTGCCTCCCGAGTGCTGGGATTAAAGGTGTGTGCCACCGCCCTGCTGCATCTCATGTTTTTACTATCCTGTGCTGTTCAAAAGTTTGGTTTTAATGCTTGGGAAAAAAAAGTTTACTATTTGCATAAGAAGCTTTGTTTTCAAATTTAAAATATTTATCCATAGGATTGTTAAATACCAGGTACATTCTAAGTATTTTACAAATTTAAAAATGCTGAAAATATTATAAATGCATTCTGGTCCAGGTATCAACCAGGGTCTCCTGCATTCACAACAAACAACCCAAGGACAGGCTTTATTCTCCAGCCCTGTCCTTTATTAATGATGACAGTTTAATTCTCATGTTAGTTAAAGTGTTAAGAAACTTCTGTGTGCAATGATGTCCACACACCTCCCCACAT